TCTCTATCTACCTCATGTAAATATTCACCCTCTATGCCTGCCTTTTGTTTGGCTGGAAGTCTCAGAGGGGTCCACCAGGCTCCATGAGACCAGCAAACTTGGTCATTGCTTTACTTTCTTTCTTCTTTAATGATTTTGAGTTTTCTTCCACATTGTTCTCCCACTCTGTCCAAGGTCTCTGAGTTCTCTGAGTTAATTCTTTAGGGTGCATAGTATTACACGTGTGTATGAAACCCAGCTTGGTTATCTGTTCTGTTTATGAGCACTTAGGTTGTTTCCATCTCTTTGCTATTGTGAATAAGGAGCTCTGGTGGCATAGTACCTAAGGTATTTGACCGCTAACCAGAAGGTTGGCAGTTCAAACCCACTAGCCACTGTGTGGAAGGAAGACTGGGCAATCTACTCCATAAAGATTTACTGCCTTGGAAACCCAAAGGGGGTCGCTCGCTATGAGTCAGAATCAACTCCATGGCAGTGAGTTTTGTTTGCTATTGTAAATAGTGCTGTGATGGACATGGGTGTATATATATCTGTTCTTGTCCTGGCTCTCATGTCTTTAGGATAAATATCTAGTAGTGGGATTGCTGGATCAACTGGGATTCTTATTCCAACTTTTCAAGGAGGCATCATACTGATTTCCACAGTGGTTGTATCATTTTACATCTTGCACAAACACTTATAGCAAATAATAAAGACATGGGGCCCACGGTGGGTAGAGCAGGGCTGGCCCAAGTCTGCCACATTGAGGCAGGATGAGGCAGGATGGACCCAGCTTCAGCCCCAGAACTTAGAGAGTGAAAAATCCCTCTGCCCATACTCCCCCTTCCTTCTTATCTATGCATTCCAGCCAACCCATACCCCTTCCATCTCCCTGTTGCTTCCTTGCCTGAGTTTTTTTCTGCTTTGGTAACACTGCTGGCTTGTGTCCCCAGAAGAAGAGGCCCATAAAAACCCTATGTGGTCTTTGTTCGGGGTCCAGTCTCCAGATGCAAACCCACTGAGCCCAAGGACCAGTACAATAAAGTCCTTCCTTCGCATCATCCTGCTC